TGCACCTGAGAGGATTTTAAGACTCTCATAAAGTTCAAGCAATTGTGTAAGCATATCTCGGCTTGAGTCCAAGATGCCCATGTTTTAAAACCCTTGACCCCTACCATAAAGACTCCTGGTGGGGTAGTGGGTCACACCAGCCACTCTGGGCAGGAAAAATGAGACTTTCTACTTCAGTGAAGATTTACAGCCTTGGAAACCCACAGGGGCAGTTCTGTTTTCTCCTAGAGGGTGGCTATAAGTTGGAATCAACTTGATGGCAGTGAATTTGTTGGTTTTGTATTTCCCTACCCTACTGTTGTTGTTGTTGTTGGGTGTTGTTGAGTCACTTCAGACTCAGAGTGACCCCTCGTGTAACAGAACAAAATACTGCCCGGTCCTGTGCCACCTCCTCATTGTTCTTATGTTTGAGCCCAGTAATGAAGCCATGGGTCAACCCATCTTGTCCAAGGTCTCCCTTTCCTTCTCTACCTGCTCCAATACTCTGTCAAGCAGGATGTCTGTCTCCAGCGAATGGCCTCTCCTGACAACATGTTCAAAATATGTGAGTGAAGTCTCGCCCTCGTTGCCTCTAAGGAGCATTCTGGCTGTGGCTCTTCAAGAGAGATTGGTTTGTTCCTTTGGCAGTCCATAGTACTGTCAATATTCGTCGCCAGCATCATAATTCATATGCATCTCTTCTTGTTAGCTCTTCCTTATTGAATAGGCCCCAGGTGATTCCAACCTGCAGCATTAATTCAGGTGACTTCGAATCATAGTTTATATGCCTGAGCCAATGGAAGTGGCATTAAGTAGGATAATGGATGTATGAGAAAGAGTAGGTATGTGTGGGAAGTTGGTAATACGTTTAGTTTTTGACACATATTTGAAGATTCCTTTGGGACATCAGATGACGCGATCCAGTTGAATATTTAAATCTAGATTTCAGGAGAGACAGATGAGTCATGGAGTTACCGTTCTGAGGACAACCAGTGTGGAAGTCATAATTAGAGCGATGGATGTTAAGTAGATCACATAAAGAACAAGAGAAACATGAAAAAGAGGACCAAGGAAAACAACCAGCCAAGAGTAAGGACAGAAGATCCTGGAAAGGAAATAAGAAAGAGAAGTGTGAAAGGTTTGAACCCACAGGGAGATGATAGGATAGGGACGTTAAGGGAGGAGAGAGATCTAAAAACAGACCAGGAGCAATGACTTTTTTTAAGCCTCGAAAGGTCTAGTACGACAAGCTGAGAAGAACTAGATGTCTGGCTTTTAGGAAGTCACTGGTAGCTATAACATGGCCAGTTTAGTAAGGTGGTGGCTGCAAACATCCAGTGGCAGAACTTAAACATGGCAATAATGCTACTTGCCATTAGGAAAAAGCTAATTGAGGGAAAGGAATGACTGCTGGACCGAGATGGTGGGAGAATAGAACCCTGGATATCACTAGGGGTGTAGTCTTGGGGGAGCAAGAGGTAAATAACGGTGGAAGTGAAAGTAGATCCTTTTGTAGCTGAGAAGGTAAAAGAATCTGCGCCCCATTTCCTCAGTTATCTCTGACGTGGGTATCAACGTTGTTTGGAAGGAATGGAGACAGGTCTTGGTGCTTCACCCATCCAACCACTCATCAATGTATGAGCACTGCCATAAAAGATAAAAGCCCTTAAATCTATATGTAAAATACAGCATATGCAATATTTCATTAATTACATATGCAAAAATACTCATTTCCTTGTGAAAACACACATTTCCCAAGCCGCTCCAGAAGACATTACACATTGACCGTTAAGAATATTGACAACTGAATTCTGACCCAACCTCTTTACTCTTTGAACTTCATTTTCTTTCTTCTCTTATTCCTGTTTCATTCATCATTTAAAATTTCGTTTTACTTTTATCTTGACAATTTCTTAGTACACCCCTCTTCTATTTAGTAGCTTCACTGTTGAGCTGTTTGTTCTCATCATACTTTATTTCTCATATCTTTGAAATAAGCTCACTCCTACATTTTCAACAATTCTGTCTCATTCAAATGAATTATTTTCAAGTGAGATTTGTGAGTGATAAACCTTTCCTCGTGTTTTTAACCAAAATCAAGGTATACTTTTGTCTTTTCATCATAAAAACAATATGTTATTATATAAAATGTAAGCCATGTAAAAATGAAGAATATTGGTTCCCGATAAATGTGTTTACTTATAAATTATTAAAGTATATATATATATACACATATATTTACTATAAATTGTTGAAGAATGTGGTACCAGAAGTTTCTAAATTTCTGTTTTCTAAATTTAAACTAAAAATTGGCAGTGGAAAGCAGATTTGGCTCATTTACTTTATATGATCGGGGTCACTACATGATTTCTAGTAGAACCAGGATGGCCTACTTGAGGATCCTGGACCTGAAGCTGGTGTGCTGCCTTCAGGGAGGCTACACAGACATGCAGATGACACAACCTCACTTGCTTAACGTGAGGAGGAGTTGAAGCACTTGCTGATGAAGATCAAGAAATGCAGCCTTCAGTGTGAATTACAATTCAATGTAAAGAAAACAAAAATCCTCACAACTGGACCTGCAGGTAACATCACAATAAACAGAGAAAAGATTACTGCTGTCAGGGATTTCATCTTGCTTGGACCCACAATTAATTTTCATGGAAGCAGCAGTCAAGAGATCAAATGATGCATTACATTGAGGAACTCTGCTGCACAAGACCTTTTAGAACTATTGAAAAGCAATGCTGTTACTTTGAGGACTAAGGTGCATCTGACCTTAGTATTTTCAAGCATGGTATTTTCAGTTGCCTCGTATGGATGTGAACTTTGGACGTTGAATAAGGAAGACAGAAGAAGAATTGCTGTATGTGAATTACGGTGCTGGGGAAGAATATTGAAAGAACCGTAAACTGCCAAAAGAACAAACAAATCTCTCTTGGAAGAAGTACAGCCAGAGTACTCCTTAAAGGCAAGAATGTCAAGACTTCATCTTACATGCTTTGGACATGTTGTCAGGAGAGACCAGTCCCTGGAGAAGGACATCATGCTGGGTCAAGTGGAGGGGCAGTGACGGAGGAAGGCCCTCAAGGAGGCGGATTGATACGGGGGCTGCAACAGTGGGCTCAGGCAGAGGAACAATTCGAAGGCTGACCTAGACCAGGCAGTATTTTGTTCTGTTATACATGTGGTTGCTATGAGCCCAGACTGATTATGGCACCAAACAGCAGCAACACTACAGAGTCCTGACTCTTATTATGACGCCAGAGGCGGAAGTGAAGCGCTTTTCCCACTTGAGTAATTTCGCCCCAAGTTTTCCCATTGACCAGCCCCCTCACTGACTCTTTCTCTCCAGCAGTGGTTCTCAACCGTCCTAATGCCGCGACCCTTTCATACAGTTCCTCATGTGGTGGGGACCTCCAACCATCACATTATTTTCATTGCTACTTCAGAACTGTAATTTTGCGACTGTTATGAATCGTAATGTAAATATCTGATATGCAGGGTGTATTTTCATTGTTCCAAATTGAACGTAACTAAAGCATAGTGGTTAATCACAAAACAATATGTAATTATATATTGTGAAATATTTGTGTGTTTTTCGATGGTCTAAGGCGACCTCTGTGAAAGAGTTGTTCGACCCCCCCAAAAGGGTGGCGACCCACAGGTTGAGAACCGCTGCTCTACAGAAAGAACAGTAAGAGGTGGTTGAGATGCCCCACAGTGAGTTGTCCCTTCTTACTCCAGCTATCTTAGCTACCAAGTGCCACAAGTGAGAGGCTTTAATATCACAGTTTAAGAAGCTAAAGTCTGAATTCAGGCTGTGGGTCTAGGGGAACTTTCCTCCTTGCCTATTTCAGCTTCTAGTAGTTGCCAAATGAGCCCTGGTGGCCAATAATGAAAGTGCTTGCCGGCTACCTGATAGGCAGGCAGTTTGAACCCACTAGACATAGCACACCATGGGAAAAGGGACCTAGCAAGCCAATTGGGTAAAGGTTACAGCCTGGGAAACTCTATGCAGCAGCTCTGCTCTGTCTTACAGGCCCCTCGCGTCAGAACTGACCTGATGCCAGGCAACAGCTGTAGCTGCCAACAATCCTCAGTATTCCTGTGCTTGGAGCTGTCTCTGCCTCAGTCATCAGTCTTCCTCTTCCCCTTAGGTCTCTGCTTATTCTGTTTCTTTCTTTCTTTTTTAATCTAAGTCATAAATATTTAGTCTTAGGGTCTACTTATTTTAGTCTCACAGTAACATGACAAAAGAAAGCCCTTATTTCTTAATAGTATCAGGTCTATATGTTAAAGGACCAGAATTTCAATACATATATTTGGGGAACTCTTTTCCATCTACATCCTGTGGAGGAGAACAGGATTTTCTCTGGGCTTTGAGGAGTGAGAAGATTGTTTTCTCCAGTAGTTGATTCACAGGTCGCACTGGGTCACATAAGGTGGAGGTTTAGAGATATGACACACAACGAATGGTTGGTTGGGCTGGAATACAAAAACCAGGTTGGTCTGATTTACCATCTTAGCTCTTAGGGAAATACACTTGACCATAGTACTTCTTATGTCATAAGTCTCATAAAAATATAATGCATTCATAATGATAGGATTTTTCTATCAACTTCCTTATAATTGTTGACTGAAAGATTAAAAAGAGGCAGAGAGAGCCTTGTAAGTGATGTCCAGCCTTAAAGGAGATGGACTCAAGTGATTTTTCCTAATGGTTTATCTTTCATAATTACTTTTTACTGACTCTGAGATGGCAACTCATTTCACCAATGCCAGTAATAACTATATGTGTAAAAAAGCAATTGATGTGAAAATTTGGGATGCAAAACCATCATCATTTTTAAACTATGTAAAACCAAAGTTCAGAGTTATTGCTTGAATGGGAAATGGGTATAATGCATCTAGTATGTGAATTCTATTGAATTAAAGGGGCTATTACTCACTATTACTTGTACTTAAAGAAAAATAATTTTATTAGCAGCTGTTCTAAGTGATTTTTATATTTCTTTCAGATATCGCCCATTTAATGTGGTTTGAAAGACTCTATGTTTGGCTTCAGTGTTTTGAAAAATATATCTTGTACCCAGCAATAATTTTGAATGCCCTCACTCTTGATGCATTTTCAATAAGCAATTACCGGAGACTTGGTACCCAGTAAGTGGATAATGATTTATTCTCATAATGATTTATGTCAGTGTTTTAAAAATCCAGTGACTTTCTCTAAACAGGATACAGCAGAATCTAACGTATAGCTCCTGATTATTGGCCATGTCAAGTGAGCCCTAGTGATCTTGTCCTCAAAAGCACTAGAACTAGCCAGAACGGTAGTGTGACTGGGTGTAAGCAAAATTAAATCTGCTCTGAGTGATGTTGTGACTAAACGTTGGTAAACTTGAAAATCATCCAGCCAAAGTTTAGTCAGTGAGCCTTAATAAGATGAAGGAAGCACAGTGTGAACCCAGGGCTCCCGGAGTTCCTCCCATTGCTCTCTTGTCACCGCATTTAGCAGATGCTCTATCATGTCCTGGGGGAGGGGGATCCATCACTGTCACTGCTCTCTCTACATTTATCAGCTGAAACCTCATAATTAAAGAACCGGAGCACCGGGGCGTATACAGTGAAGATGGCTGTGTTCTTGCAAATAATAGCAAAGTACACTGCGTTTATTGGTTTAATATATTAAAATTAATTTTGAATTTATAAATGGAAAACTTATTGAGAATTTGTAGATTTCTCATTTTAACAAAAGGTGAAAGTCCCTCGTTAAATATGTTGTTAAGGTGGGAGGGTAAGAAAGAGAGTCTCTTTCTTAGACTGGCTGATTAGTCACATTTCTTAAACACCGTGTGCTAAACTCAACCCTAGTAGATAATCTCAATCTGCTTTTACTTTCAAGCATGATGAGAGCATGTTCATTAATATTTGCTAAAGATTGAGCAGCTAAGATAAAAAGACTTTCCAATACTCACAAGAGGAGACATGACAATCTTCCTTTTTTCAAGCCCAGATTTGTTTTGGCTGAGCTAGGACATGAAGTCAGGGTCCTTAAGTGTCTCTCATTTTACACTTCTGATATGGAGATAAGAGTTCACGTTCAAAGGAAGCAGATAATCAGAAGAACCTGAATAAAGAGATGGCACTCTACAATGGGAACATCCATTGCTTCTTCTTGAACCAAGGATTTCCAAGATGATACAACCCTGGCTGGTCCCTTGACCATATCCCAGAATAAGACAGATCCTCAATTTCTAGAATGAGGACAAAATATCAGAAACAGAACAGAAAACACATACTAGGACTGCCTTAGGACATCAAACCTATATCCAAAGCCAGGATTAGTACCCGAAGCTGAACCAAGGAGTTCTAGTTGTTGCCCTAAAATGGATCAAGATCAAGAATACAGGCAGAGTCCAATAAATTGTTCAGAGAGCTCAATCTGAAATAATCTCACTCTCTAGGCTTCATAGTGTAAGATAGTTTCCCTTAGGCAATAAGTCTTATTAAGGGAGTTTATTAACAACCTGCATGCGATATTCAGATAACAAGACGTATTATATGACACAACCTTGTTTGCTGAAAGTGAGGAGGCCATGAAGCACTTGCTGATGAAGACCAAGAATTCAGCCATCAGTATGGATTATAACTCAATGTAAAGAAAACCAAAATCCTCACAGCTGGACAAGTAGTAACATGATGATAAACAGAAAGATTGAAATTGTCAAGGACTTAGTCTTGATTGGATCCACAATCAATTCTCATGGAAGCAGCAATCAAGGGATCAAATGATACATTGCATTTGGGTCAATAGGCTGCACAGACCTCTTTAAGTGCTGAAAAGCAAGGCTATTACTTTGAGGACTGAGGTGAATCTGACCTTAGTATTTCAAGTCATGGCATTTGCAATGGTCTCATACGCATGTGAAAGTTGAACATTGCATGAGGAAGACTGAAGGAGAAACATCTGTTTGAATGATGGTGCGGGAGAAAATATTGAAAGGACCATGGAGTGCTGAAAGAACAAAGTCTATCGTGGAAGCAGTGCAGATAGAATGCTCCATAGAGGTAAGGACGGTGAGACTTCATCTCACTCTCTTTGGACATGTAGTCAGGAGAGACCTTTCACTAAAGGAGGACATCGTGCTTGGTATAGTCAAGGAGCAGCAAGAAATATGAAAGCCCTCAATGACATGAATTGAGACAGTGGCAGCATCGACGGGCTCATATATAAAGTTAGGATGGCACAGGACTGGGCACTGTTTCATTCTGTTGTGCATTGGGTCTGACTCAACAACACCTAACAACCACAAGTCAGAAAGGAGCGCCTTTCCTATATTCCTATATTCCTCAATAGTCTCAATTCCCAGATCATACTGCCAGGGCTATTTTTCTCAGGACTCAAAGCTGATCATTTCTTTCTATTTTTGAGGCATCCATTTGAAGATGTTAAAAAAAATAAATAATCACAGAATTTTGGACATCCACCTCAACTATCTGTCCTCAAACAGGGCAGCAGTAGGCAATATATTAGTTTCACCTAGAAACCAATTTTAAACTGTATGAACTTCAACCAGCCTTTTTTCCCCCTGACAACCACTATATAGGCATACCTTGTTGTCTTAGTCTGGCTAGATTAGAAAACCAAATTCATATGTGTATAAGAAAGAGCTTTATATATAAGAGCAATTAAATATTTAGAAAACATCCCAGCCCAATCCAGATCAAGTCCATAAATCCAATATTAGCCCATATGTTGGATACCAATCTATAAATTCCTCTTCAGACTCACGCAACACATGCAATGACACTGAATGCAGGAAGATTACCGGCCAGTGGGTGGAAAGTCTTGTGTATCCCGTGGTGCAAAAGCATCTTAACTCTGGCAGGGGTCTCTACATGGCTCCTCCAGCTTAGGGCATTAGCATAGCTCCATGTGTCTTGTCAGCTGCAAGATCTCGCCGGGAGTGAGTGTGTGTCCCGCCTCCAATGAGCTATTTATCTTCTTAGCACCTCCAAATGAGGTCATCAAGCTGTGACCTGATTGACAGGCTAAACTCCATCCCTTCACCCTTAAGTCTCAAATTGACAATGGATTATGTAACTACCATACTTGTAGATACTGTACATTTGATTCCAGACCTCTACAATAAAATGAGCCACACATTTTTTTTTGTTTCACAGTATATTCAAAAGCTATGTTTATTCTATTCGGTAGTCTATTTAGTGTGAAATAGCATTCAGCAAAAAGTTTAAAATACTGTGGGAACTACCAAAATGTTTAAGTTTTATATTAAGGAAAATCTTAGGGTTTTTTTGTTTGCTTTTACATAATCTATACTAATAAATTACCTATTTATATACTTATATAGAATGATTGATCTCAATTAAATGTCTTACATGGTTGTATAAACTTCAAAGTCCTAGGTCATTGGACTATATACCCAGCTGCAGGTGTCCTCTGACTTACGTAGCTGCAAGGTCTGATAAGCCCATGATCAACAGATAGATATCAAGCTGTTGTCTCACAGATTGAGGAGGTGAATGAATCTTAAGATTGGCAGTCAGTGTGCCAGGCTGCTAGAGGTATGGACCTGCAGTGGGTGACGACCTGAAGAAAAAGACTGGCCAGTGGACTGATAATCCAAAGCCAAATTGTATTCCCAAAGTACAGCTTTATACATAATGAGGCAAGGGTACATAGTGTGCAGTGTAACAATAACATCGTGATAAAATTGCTCTAAGCACAAACAGCTCCTAGGGACTAACCTTAAACAAATGCAACTGTGTTCTCAGTGTACTCAGGGCATCTCAGACTGTGGGAAAACATCATAAGGACACAGTGTCCCCAAGCACCCCACAGAGTCACCAGTACCCTTCGGTTAAAACTCAGTCACTCTCTATCCTCAAGCCCACAGAACAAGAGAGAAAATGATCATGAGTCATATTCCGGATACAGATCAAGCACAAAGTTTGAGCACTGAGATTGTTGCAGCAGACCTCATCATGTGAATGATTACATTGTATTAGATATCGTCACTGAGGGATATCTACATCATTATATAACTGCATGGTTTCATAATAATTACCCAAACTATTGAGAAACATGGCCCCGCCAAACTGGTACACCACCTCAACCATAGAAAGAAATATGAATGGACTGGTTAATACTAGATGTTTTCATTATAAAAGTCACGATTCTGAACCTAATAGATGCAAAGACTTTGAAAGTCGTTTCTAAATCTCCACATCCTGGGGTGAGATATTGATAAATGGAGGTAAGGGCATAAATTCCACCATCCTTCTAGACTTAGAGAAATTGAGGCTTGGCCCTAGTTTTCTATACTATCCAGGGAAAATGTTTCCCTATGAAGTACCAGTAATTCTCTGAGAAAGTATTTCCAAGTCTTTCTCCAAGTAACATCAAAGGCATACTATGATTTGGTAACTGGTAGGGAATCTGGTTAAAATATTTTAAAATCTATTTTTAAAAATATCCTTACAAAAGTGATTGCTTACTCTTTTAAATTGTTTTGAGCTGTTAACATTTACGTTCCAATCTCAGGGTACATAGGTTGTTCACTACTGGCCTCCCCATCAGGTGGAGTTGTACACATGGAGCCTACTCCCTACTTGGGATAGTGGAGCTCATGTGGCAAGCCTTAGACTGCTAACAGTGAGATCAATGGTTCAAACCCATCGGCTATTAATGGGAGAGAAATGGACTCTCTGCTCTCAAAAAGAATTACAGTCACAGCATTGCATACAGAGCTGCGATGCGTTGGAATTGACTCAGGGGCCGCGGGTTGGTTTTGGATATGGGATAATACACTGACTTCAGGAGCCAGTCTTCAAGCCAAGCTTCAGAGTGTTTCTTTGGGTGACTCTGGCTGAAGTGAACTAAAAAGACCTATGCCATGGAAAATAATTGGAGGTGATACAATTTTAAGTGGAAAATGACAGATCAGAAAGATCAATAGGATGAAAAATAATTGGTAGCTAGTGATTTTTGTTGTTGTTTGAAACTAGTTTGTGTGACACAAAGTAATTTAAGTCAGTTTCACTTTTATTTTCCTCCACTAATAGCCTTCAGACTAGTGTTTAGGTTTTATGGGTAAGAAATGTGGAGAGTTTTTAAGTCTCTCTTTCCTCTTTCCCTCTCTCCCAAATTTTAACTTTATTTTCCCTCTGTGTGGTTACACAACCCATCTTATCAAAATGGTGACAGCTCTTTTCTTTTTGTTTTTGGGTTTTATTTGTCCTTGGTTTGTTATTGTTCTTGTTTTGTTTTCTTTTGTTGCTTTGTTTTGCTCTGATTTGTTTTTTTAATGTGCATATTATTATCTCTGTAGGTCTATCTCGATAAGATAGGTGGGATAAACAATATGGAGGAGAAAAAAAACGGGACCGGCAGTTCTGGGGGGACATGGGAGAAGGGGAGGTGGGGGAAAGGAAGTGAGTGTTAACAACCCCAGGGACAAGGGAACAACAAATGATTTAAAATCCATGGCAAGGAGGGTGTAGAAGGCTTGGTAGGGCTTGATCAAGGGCAATGTAACTGAGAGGATTTACTGAAACCCAAATGAAGACTGAACATGACAATGGGACCAGAGGAAAGTAAAAGGAAATAGAGGAAAGAATTAGGAGGCAACGGGTATTTATAGAGGTCTAAATACAGACATGTATATATGTAAAGATATTTGTATATGACAATGGGGAACTAGATCTATATTTATAGGTTTAGTATTAAGGTAGCAGGTGGACATTGGGCCTCTACTCAAGTACTCCCTCAGTGCAAGAACACTTCGTTCTATTAACCTGGCATTCCATGATGCTCATCTTCCTGATCTGATTGATGAAGACAAAGTGGGTGTATAAGCAAATGTGGTGAAGAAAGCTGATGATGCCTGGCTATCAAAAGATACCGCATCTGGGGTTTTAAAGGCTTGAAGATAAACTAGCGGCCATCTAGCTGAGAAGCAACAAAGCTCACATGGACGAAGCACACCACACCAGTTTGTGTGATAACGAGGTGTCCATAGGATCAGGTATCAGGCACCAAAGAGCAAAAAAAAAAAAAAAATATCATTGTGAATGAGGGGGAGTGTGGAATAGAGACCCAAAGCCCATAGGGGATGAGACGAGCCAGTTAGGGTGCAGTGTAGCATTGATGAAACATGCAACTTTCCTCTAGTTCTTTAATGCTTCCTCCCCCACCACTATCATGACCCCAATTCTACCTTACAAATCTGGCTAGACCAGAGGATGTACACTG